AGTAAAATACATAACTTTTTTTTTTCTTCTTGACTTAAAATGTACAACCTGATTTGAATGAAGCATATGTAAGGACTGTGGAAGAAACGCCCGGAGTATATTTGTAACCAATCGATACGCTTTCAACAAGATGTAACGAAAGATGATTTTTCTTCTTTTTCTTGTTTAATTAAAACAATAAAAAAGTTTCTCAAAATAAAAAAGAAACCCTTGGATTTTGGCCCAGAGTTAAGTCACATCTTATCTTGACGCAACCATCCCATGTATATTGAAGACAGTTTAGTTTGCTTGAGATAATCAGAAGTGGTTGAAAAACCAGCATGCCCACACAATGAATCGTTGGAACACTGTGTCCTTGCTCTTCAGGAAGAAGAGAGATGTACATTTACTATTGTACATAAATGGCGAGGAGAGGGAGAGGGTTGGTAGTTTTAAATTTCTGGGCATTTATATCTCAGAGGACCTCTCATGGACCATGAATGCTAACATGTTTGTGAAGAAGGCACAGAAGAGGCTGCATTTCCTGAGAATGCTCAGGAAGATTAATCTATCTCAGGATCTACTTCTGTCCTACGATCGCAGCACCATTGAGAGTGTCCTGACATACGGCATTCTTGCATGGTTCGGGAGCAGCTCTGCAGCGGACAAAAAAGCTCTCCAGAGAATCATTAAAACTGCCCAGAATATCACTGGGCTCCAGCTACCAGCCCTAGAGGACATCTTCGCATCTAGATGTTTGAGAAAGTTGCACAATGTTCTCAGAGACTCTTCCCATCCTGCTTACCATCTTTTTAGACTGTTGCCTTCTGGCAGAAGATACAGAAGAATGAAAAACTCAGACCACACGTCTTCCGAATAGTTTTTATCCCAGAGATATCATTGCACTCAACAATGAACTAAAAGGGCCACCATCAGTGAGCTATTGGACAGCATTACTTGGTCTGTTGTGTGGATGCTTGGGTGGTTTAGGAGCGGGGAATCTTTTTGGTGGGTGGGTGGGGTGTTTGGGGATTGTCATGTGCGTTGGGCCCGGTCTCTGGGTGTTATGTGAATTTCGTTGTATGTGTAAACTGTGTATAAACGTACAATGACAATAAAGTAAAGTAAATGAATTGTTAGAACAGCATGTCCATATGTGCTGGAGGGGAAGAGATCACTGAACAATGATCTCGCTTCACAACGGAAATTTTAGGCTCAGAATAACAACTTCAGCAAATGTCTGCAAGAAAACCACCAAGCTCAGGGAGCACCCAGGACTCCACAATCATCATCGTCATCTTTTAATGACCCCATAATCCCTTGCAGGGTGGAGTCTGGGCAACTGAATGGAGCTGGGTATTTACTGGCCAGATGCCCTTCCTGTCACCAGTGCAGAGTTTTGGGCAGCAGATATATTCTCATTGTGCCCAGAGAGAGAGAGAGAGAAATATCTGCCTCCACCTAGGATCGAACTGACAACCTCCTGATTGAGTTCCACCTCTAGGCCACCTCACCACTCACCAAGGACTCCACAATGACCCCTAAAATTGAACTGTCCCCTCCCCCCCAAAAAAACCAAGAAAGGACAGATTGACGGCAAAACTTCAACCAAACCGATTGCATGACTCACCTAAGAATTTTCTCTGGAGCTTGTTCTCCTGTCACCAAATCATAACCTCTTTCCAAAGTTGTGTACGGCCAGGGGCTGGCGAAAACAAAGCAAGAAAACAGTCATTATTATACACGGAAGGGGTTGGAATTTAGAAACAGGAGCAGCTAGAAGCAAATCCATTTCCTTTTTAATAACAACATTACTCAAACGCCGTATCATTTTCTCATCTTTGGCCCAAACAGCTTATTATCCTTTCGTTTCTTTCTTTTCCCGTAATTATGCTAGTTATTTATGGCATTCTAATGCATTGGCAGCTTATCTATATTTAATTATATTTATTGTCTTGCTCCAGTCTCGTGGCTCTCGCGGATTGATTGATATATTAAGATGATATTGAAGTAACGATTCTAAAGTCAGGCGTGCTGGTCGCTGTTTATTGTTTCATGGTTTCTTGAGACTTCAGAATTGAGCATCGGGCCATGTAAATCAAAGCGATTGTCGGAGGCATTCCAATAGGTCCTTTGTTGACAAGCTGGAGCACCCGTAGGATTGAAACTAAGATTCCTGGCTTGAAAACTTCGTCTACTAGCTTTGAGGCAGAGGCCCCGTCACGTAATTTCTTTACCCCAGAAGCCAATCTTTAATAAACACACACTTAATGCATAATTCATACAGAAATCTCCTTCAGGAGAAGAGATTTCAAGGGAGCAATGAGAGGTGTACTCACACCATTGCGAAAGCACCCAAAGGTAAAGGTTCCCCTTTATGTGCTAGTTGTTCCTGACTCTAGGGGGCGGTGCTCATCTCCGTTTCAAAGCCGAAGAGCCAGCGCTGTCCGAAGACGTCTCCGTGGTCATGTAGCCGGCGTGACTCAACGCCGAAGGCGCACGCAACAATGTTCCCTTCCCACCAAAGGTGGTCCCTATTTTTCTACTTGCATTTTTATGTGCTTTCGAACTGCTAGGTTGGCAGAAGCTGGGGCAAGTCACGGGAGCTCCCTCCACTACGCGGCGGTAGGGATTCGAACCGCCAAGCTGCCGACCTTTCTGATCAACAAGCTGAGTGTCTTAGCCACTGAGCCACTGCGTCCCTCATATATTATATAGGAAAAAGCAAAAAAAGCTGCAATTTGATGTGAATGCCTTATTTTACTGTAATAGAGAGAGTCAGAAGTCAATGCTGCTTTTTCTTGCTTAACCTTCCTCACTTCTCTTTCCCTCCCCACTCCTTTTCTATTTACTTTGTACTTTGGGTTTTATGCCACTTTGTAAGAACTCCATAAAAAATGTTAACAGGGGGGGAGACAGGTAAGCAAACAAACCCCCTTTGAAGCAGAATTTGGGGAACAGATTGTGCACCTGGTTGAACATGGAATTCTTCCGAAAATTCTGGTCCCCATGGAAAAAGATGCTGCTTTAATACTGTCCTTCCTTCCTTCCTTCCTTCCTTCCTTCCTTCCTTCCTTCCTTCCTTCCTTCCTTCTTTCCTTCCTTGCCAATTTTCCCTGGAGATTGCTGCCCTGCCGCCCTGCCCCACAACACCCTGTCATGCTCACCCTTCGCTGTGTTCCCAGGTGTTACGGATACAAAGGTGTCGATGCACAGGATCGGGGGCATATCCTTCATGGCAGCTGCACTCACCTGGAAACAAGAGCAGAGCTCCAATGTTCAACCCCGCCTTACCTTTGTCATCTACAGTTGTACAGGTAACCCTCGACATACGCCGACCACCCAGCCCCCTCCCCAATTTGTTGTTGTTAATTTGCACATGTGACATAAGCAAAGCACAGGTAGTCCCCAACTTAACAACAGTTAGAATAGAATAGAATAACAGCGTTGGAAGGGACCTTGGAGACTGGAAGAAATGGTGCCGGGTCTCCTGCCTGAGCAGGAGGTTGGACTAGATGACCTACAAGGTCCCCTCCAACTCTGTTAATATGTTAAGGGGTTGGACTAGACGACCTCCAAGGTACCTTCCAACTCTATTAATCTGTTAAGGGGTTGGACTAGAAGACCTCCAAGGTCCCCTCCAACTCTGTTAGTCTGTTAATATGTTAAGGGGTTGTACTAGAAGACCTCCAATGTCCCTTCCAACTCTATTAAATCTGTTAAGGGGTTGGACTAGAAGACCTCCAAGGTCCCCTCCAACTCCGTTATTCTGTATAGTCGGAATTGAAGAAGCTTCTTGGACGAGAAGCGAAATGCCTTCAAGGGGAAAAAAAACCCAAATTCCAGTTGCCTTTTTGAAACATGCAGCTTTTTGAAACACCTGCATATTTAAAAGCAAATCTATGGGTGGGAGCACACCCTGTTTTTAATGAAGAAAAGGGAAATAGATGACCTCTGCCACTCATTAAAAAATGCAGTCGAAAGCTATCTTGCCCTTCCCTTCCTCATTTCTCATTCCCTCTTTCTTCTTTGCGGAGAACTTGCCCGGCTGCTTTTCAGATTGATCCCTTGCTTTGCAAAGGAAAATACATATCCCCAAGCAAGCCATGTAGAAGAAGAAGAAAAAAAGAGAGAGAAATAATAAAAGATTAATTGGATTTGTTCACCCAGGAAACTTTGGAAGCCAGTGTTGATTTTTCTTCCCGTTTTTTTCCTCTGGCAGACACCTTTCATTGACAAAAGGAGAGTTTTAAGCACAGCTGTGTTGGGGGAGGTTGTCTCTTTGAATCCCAGATGTTCATTTTGATACCTCCTCCCTTCAGGTTAATGCAGTTTCCTCCGCCCCAAATATCTTAATATCTTACTACTTGGCTGGTAGTCCAGTTTGTCTGGTCCTAGAACTTTAGCCGTTAATTGATGAGTTCTTAGGAGTTTATCTATGTCTCTATTCTTTGCTTTGTTACTCCAATCCTATCAACTATTTTGATTATATGTCTTTTCTCTACTCTAGCGACATCTATTCTTTTCTCCGGATTCTAGCGACGTGGCTAGGCATCTGTCATTTTAAGATAAGATCAATCCCCAAATTTGGACGGAAATGACTTTGTAAACGACCCTCACTCTGTCAAGGAGTACTCATCTCAAATGTTCTAAGTCCAAGAGCTCACTGCAACAGCATTGCCAAAAAGGCATTAAGAGTTGTTAACTTAATATGGCGAAGCTTCTTCTCCGGTAACGTTGACTGCAAACTAGGGCATGTAAAGCCTTTGCCAGACCAATCCTCGAGTACAGCTCATCTGCCTGGAATCTACATTGTATATCGGATATTAATACAATCGAGCAGGTTCAGAGGTATTTCACGAGAAGAGTCCTCCACTCCTCTGCCTCATAATAGAATCCTTTATGCCACCAGGATTGAAATTTTGGAACTACGCTGCCTACGGTTTGATCTAAGCATAGTACACAAAATTGTCTGCTACAACATCCTACCTGTCAACGACCATTTCAGCTTCAGCCTCAACAATACACTGACAAACAATCAATACAAACTCAAGGGAAACCNTATTTTTTTTGCTGTGCGTACGCTTTTTCTAAAATATTAATTTATCAGCCTTTCTTTCAAAAGATGCCACCTCGGCAGCCTTGGCTGGAGGAAGAAATAACTACCGAAATGCTAAAGCGATACATTTCTCCCCTATTTCTGCTGTATCCATTCTTTTTCCCCCTTCTCCTCCTTCCTTTTGTGTCTTTTATAGTCTCTGCTTCAATGAACAGCGGGGGGCTTATTATTTATCAGGAGTTCTAGGGGAGAAATGGCGAACAGAAGACAGCTCTGCTAAAAGCAGAATGAAGAGCTGGGAAGAATGAAGAGCTGGAGAACATACTGGCTCTTTGTAATTCCTCTCCAACCAAGGAAAGGACTTGAGATTGCCCACAAGTGCTCCAGACAATCACTTCTTGTGAGGTGATTACAAGAAAGCTTAGACGAAGTAATAGCCATCCTGTTCAAATCATGGCTGATGGCTCTTTGTTCACAGACTTCCTTTTCTAACCTAGCACTAATGATGTTGCCTAGTTTGGTAATGAAACATCTGCAAGAAAACAACCCAGCTCAGAAAGCACCAAGGACCCCTACAATCCTCCTCCTCCTCCCTGCAAATACCTCTCCCTTCTAGCACTGATGATGTTATCTAGTTTGGTAATGAAATGTCTGCAAGAAAACAACCAAGCTCAGAGAGCACCAAGGACCTCACAATCCTCCTCCTCCTCCCAAACCCCATCCCCTTCTAGCACTGATGACGTTATCTAGTTTGGTAATGAAATGTCTGCAAAAAAACAACCAAGCTCAGAGAGCATCAAGGACGACTTCTTCCTCTTCCTCCTCCTCCTCACCACAAATTCCACTCCCTTCTAGCACTGATGATGTTACCTAGTTTAATTAAGCATCCGCAGGAAAACAACTCAGAGAGCACCAAGGACCCCACAAATGTCCTTTTCCAGAAATCCCTTGGTCTCTATTTTTCAGCTATGAAGAACTTTTGCACTGACAAATTTTTGAACAGCACTGGGTGAGATTCCTTCTATCGTTAGCGAAAGAAGTTTTAAATATAAACTTAAGGCCTTTTTTTNCTACCTGACTCCGTTGTTACATCCTCAAACCCCCCACAGCTTCAACCTTAAACTGTCTGCTGTGGACCTCACCCCATTCCCATAAAGGGAGCGTGCATAAGCGCACCAGCGTGCCTAACGTCCCTGTCCTACTGCAACATGAGATGGAGGAGATGTTCACCTCTGGAGACCTTGGTGCTCTCTGAGCTTGGTTGTTTTCTTGCAGATGTTTCATTACCCAACTAGGGAACATCATCAGTGCTTGAAGGGAGTGGGCTTAATAAGAGAAATAACAGCAAACCCTCTCCAGCAGGCAACACCCAGATAAGGAAGGATTAACACCAGACAAATGAAGGAGCAGAAAATGCTAGTCCAATCAAGGAATCACTCAGAAGAAACTGCCATCATAATACTGACAGGGGAAGCTACTGCATATAAGTAGTAAAATTCACTCCCTTTTGCATGGTTGATGTTACCTAGTTGGGTCATGAAACGTCAGCAAGAAAACAACCAAGCTCAGAGAGCATTAAAAACCCTACAGTCATCGTCGTCCTCCTCCTCCAAATCCAAATTCCCTTCTAGCAGTGATGATGTTATCTAGTTGGGCAATAAAATGTCTGCAAGAAAACCACCAAGCTCAGAGATCATCAAGGACCCATAGGCCTCCTCCTCTTCCTATTCCTCCTCCCATATTTTCCGGCTCCCCACAAATGATGTTGCCCAGTTGGGTCACGAAATGTCTGTAAGAAAACCACCAAGCTCAGGTAGTACCAAGGACCCCACAGTTCAACCCTGAGCTACAACTATTCCTTTCTATTGATATTCATCTCCATCTATTCACGTCTGCATATTAATAGGGTTTTCAGTTCTTCCAAACAAAAGGTCTGGAGCTGAAAGTTGGAAATAAACAAACAGGCTGTAAATAAGGCCAGTGACAAAAGCCCAGCTAAAAACCAGAAAACGATGGGAAATCAATGCATCTCACAAAAAGCGGGGAAAAGGGGAAGGAACATATTTCATTTCCGCAGCGTGTACATGGAGGGACGGGAGTGCAAACTCTATCAATTACAGATGTGCACAGAGGGGAAAAAAGGTCAATGTTTCTCATCGGAGTGATATTCATCCAAAGAAATAAATATGCCTATTTGTAGCAACCGTCAAGTAAATTATGTTCTATTTTATATTCCCTTCCTCATTCTATTCTTATTCCTTATTCTGTTCTGTTCAATTCCATTTCATTCTATTCCTTATTCTATTCCTTATTCTATAGCTTATTCTATTCTATTTTATTCTATTCTAGTCCCTGCTCCCTATTCTCTACTCTTCTCTACTTTCTATTCTATTCTATTCTATTCTATTCTATTCTATTCTATTCTACTCTACTCTACTCTACTCTATTCCTTATTCTGTTCTGTTCCATTCCATTTCATTCTATTCCTTATTCTATTCTATTCCTTATTCTATTCGTTATTCTATTCTATTCCCCTACTCCCTATTCTCTTCTCTTCTCTACTCTCCTCTACTCCCTATTCTATTCTATTCTATTCTATTTTATTCTACCCCGTCGCACCTCATCCTTCTGTTCTGTTCTGTTCTATTCTATTCTATCCCATCCCAATTCTCTATTATGCTGCATTCTGTTCTATTCCATTCCTCCCTAACTCTTTCTCTCTAGCACATACACAAAGCAACTACGCAATGCGTAGCCTCAGGAATTTCTGAGGTCTGTTTCACCCTGTTAATAACAGACTGACGCAGCCGTGCATGTTAAATAGCTCTTCATCAAAACTAACAAAGATTGCCACTTTTTTTTAAATGCATTGGCTTCACAGTCAGTAAATAAATAATTCACACACAATTTGTTAAGGTAACCCTGATGGAGCGATTGCCGGAATGAAAAGTCAGAAATTAAAATGATTAAAAATTAGAAAACAAACAGTTCATCCCTGACTTACGACCACCATGGAGTTCAACATTTCTGTTGTTAACAGAGACATTCGTTGAGTGAGTTTTGCCCCATTTTACGACCTTTCTGGCCACAGTGGTTAGGTGAACCACTGTTTTTCTTAAGTGAGTAACACAGCTATTAAGGGAATCTGGTTTCCTCATTTCTCTGCTGGCCAGAAGGTTGCAAAAGGAGATGATGTGAACCCGTTGAAGGTGAGTCCATTGCCAAGCATCCGAAGGTAAATCAGGTGGCCGTGTGGATGCTTCAACAGTCATAAGTGTGAAAAAACGGCCATAAGTTACTTTTTTCAGTGCTTTGGTCGTTAAACAAGACTTTTTTTGTAAGTCGAGGTCTACCAGTGTGACACTGAGAAATATGTAAATACAATTATGTACAGAAATAGAAATATTTCTCAACGGCCAACCTCCCCAGTTGAGAAATAGTTCGAAGAGGAGACATAAATGACATCCCTTCTCCTGCCTCTTCGCTTGGTGCCCATGTTGTCTCTGTTGGGGAAATCTAACACAATGTGATAAAAAAAACAAGGCTGTGATCAAAAGACTGAAAAGACTTCTCTCTGCTTGCCTCCGGAAGTTGTGAATGCTCCAACACTGGAGGTTTTTAAGATGTTGGACAACCATTTGTCTGAAGTGGTGTAGGGTTTCCTGCCTAAGCACGGGGTTGGACTAGAAGACCTCCAAGGTCCTTTCCAACTCTGTTATTCTCTAGGGGGCAGTGCTGACTCTAGGGGGCGTTGCTCATCTCCATTTCAAAGCCGAAGAGCCAGCGCTGTCCGAAGACGTCTCCGTGGTCATGTTCGCTTCCCACCAAAGGTGGTTCCTATTTTTCTACTTGCATTTTTTACATGCTTTCAGACTGCTAGGTTGGCAGAAGCTGGGACGAGTCACGGGAGCTCACTCCGTTAGGCGGCACTAGGGATTCAAACCGCCGAACTGCCAACCTTTCTGATCAGCAACGCCTTAGCCACTGGTCCACCGCTAATGATATGCTAAATTGCAAGAGCTCTTTCATAAAATATTCACCATCTTAAACATGTCTTGATATTAAAAGATTAAAAGTCCGGGGGGAATTCATCCCGGCGACACCCAAGACCTGATTTACGAGCTGCTAGGAGCTGCTAACTTTCTGATTCATGAGGCGAGGTTTCCAAAAGTAACCTTTCCAGCAAAGGAAACAGGGGTGGGGGGAGGTGGGATTTAGGGTGGGGAGTGGGTGGGAGGAAAGGAGAAACCAGGGAAGGAATGAGTTGGCAGGAAGGCATTTGTCTTGGCTTGGAGTGGGGGCTGAGGGATGTGGAAGAGGGGCAGCCCCCGCGCTGATGCGTTCTCCGTTTGTTTTGAAGGAAGGGTTCGCCAATCGAAGCGGCCCTTAATAAGTCATTTTCTTCTCTCCCGAGTTTTTATCAGCCTGGGTCATTAATTCCTCACACTTACAGAATAACAAATATATGTTCTACAAACTAGACAGACTTTGGGGGAGAGGGGGAGAGGGGAAAGTGAAATAAAACATCCAGTTTGGAGAAGAGCAGAGAAAGGAGCATCCTTGTGAGATATAAAGATGTCACTGTGGCTATTCCTGGGTTCATTAGTGGATTAATTAATGCGGGTGTTTTACGCCACACTGCCAGAACCTAGAGTTTCCCTGCATTTTAAGTCCTCCTCCTCTTCCACTCCTCCATGGTCTCCTCCTCCTCCTCCCCCTCCCCCTCCATGTCTTCCTCCTCCCTTCCACCTTTCTCAGCCTTAGAATCTTCTTCAGA